CATGTATGTATATATGTGTGTGTGTGTATATGTGGGTGTGTGTGAGTGAGAGTATTTAAGAATGTATAGAGAATAAGATATAGGTAAGCGAGTGTATGTAGAGAAGTACGCTATATATGACTGTGTGTAGAAAATTGTGTTTAATTTTATATCGCTCTCTTCAACTCACACAAGATCAAATATATATCTATATATATATATTTTATCTATCTCTCTATATATAATATATATATATATATATATATATATATATATATATATATATATATATATATATATATATATATATATATATATATATATAGCCCTATGAATTGGTTAACAAATCAGTGAGTATATATGGATTGTGGGTAGTAGATACAAATAAAAATATTTTTGCCATACTTCACTGAATTAGTAAAAGATAAGAAATTAGATGTTACGTTTGGTTATTTGACATCGGGTGACTATTAACCGCATATTTAAACATAATCAAATACGTACATACTGGTGTGAATATGTGCTTGGTGAGTAATTATGTAAGTTCCTCTACAGTTAACAAACATCTTGTATAAATAACCAGATGTAACATCTAATTTCCGTAAAACATAGTGTTTTATATAAATGATTAGAGGGAAATAACCCGACGTATGCTGCACTCGACGAAATATAAGTGATGGGAATGTGATTTGATTGGAGGAGTCATTGACATGCTACACTCGATGAATTATATCGGGTGATTTTTAACAATTAATGTAGTGAAATAATTTCCTGCTAAGATCAACAGTTAATAGAAATTCATTTCAGCGTGTGTAGCATCAAATAAGCCTGATTTAGGGATGATATTAATATATATTAAATTATTATCATACCACCACGACTTTGGGCTGATTGGGCTTGGGGATTTCAATGGGTTTGATTTTATGCAAACTCAAACCCCAATTCGAAAAAGGCTTTAGAATGACCCATAAAATATTAAAATTTATTATTTATGTAGCATTAATAATATTTTATAAATACATTTTAGGCGTAGAATAATAATAATTATAAATAATTTTTTTTTAAGTTTTTAATATTTTGTTTCTTTTAAATTTATCTTTAAAATATATATATATATATATATATATATATAAACAAAAGGAAGTGTGAGATAAAAGAGATTCCAAACGCGGCCTTAGAAAGTTGGATTGAAAGCAGGTGCATCTACTAAATCTGTAGCCCACGCGCACCCGCACCAGACGATTTGGTACAACCGCTTCTCAGCGGAACTCTTCTACACGGGCCCACCTTGTACTTTCTACACACTACATTACTACTCGGTTGTACATTCTGGACCAAATTGTCCTTCAATTAAAACACACGCTCTCATAATATTTCACGAATTTAAGAATATTATTAACATTCAATTTTTATAATATATTTTTTTAAATGAGATGAAATGTACTAATAACGGTGTATTAACTGCATACAAAAATATATTATTAAACTAGTACAATTCTTAATTTAATATTTATTTAGTGATTTGATACTATTCTTGAATTAAATAAAATATAAATTATAAGAAATATCCTAGAGTTTAATCTAAACTAATTTAATTTAATTTTTAAATGTACTAATAACAGTGAATTAACTGCATACAAAAATATATTATTAAACTATTACAATTCTTAAATTTTATATTTATTCAGTGATTTGGTCATATTCTTGAATTAAACTAAAGCATAAATTATAAAAAAAAAATATTCCTAGAACTAATTTAATTTTTAATTATAAATACTACACTGAGAGAATACTCTCTTAATATTTTTTTAATAATTCCCTTTAAATTAATTGTCAGTCAAGTCATTTTAAGGTTTGAATAACTTAACGGTCGTTAACTATTGCTGAGCTGTAACCAACACACCGACGTTTGACACGTCATCAGCCCTTGTACCTTGATTTCAACGTACTGTTTTTGTGCTGTTCCCTACTGCACCGGATCATTTCCCGAGAAATTCAACGTTTAAACGCTTAAATTCTACTCTACTTCCTCCTCCCTCAGTAAAAAAACATATTTATTTCCTTTTTGACCCCTCTCTCTCTCTCTCTCTCTCTCAAATTGAGACTTCATATACCGCAGTTTCCGATCACCTACTTTCTCCGTTGTATTCATCGACGATCGCCGGAACTTTGCATTCTGAACTGTAGATTCTTCTTCACGCGGAAAATTTTGATCTGAGGTTCGTCAAGGCATCTTCGTTTTCGGAAAGTTCTCTTCTCATTTTTTGTCTGTTTCACTTCATGCTTGTGTGTGTGCGTATATGCGTGTGATTGTGCGTGTTTGAGTGGTGTGAGAGAAACGGCTTATGGAAATGTTAATTTTTATCCGCGATTTGAGGTGTTTGGTGATTTTTTTACAAATTATATTGCCAAGTCGGTGTGTTTTTTACTCCAAATTATTTGAATCTAGGGAGATTTTGCTATCATATAGTTGTTTTTTGGAGTTTGTATGGCAAAATTGCAACCAGTGGCGCGATTGCATTGAATTTTGAGTGCCTAGATCGTACTTACTGGAGATGAAGTTATTACTGGAAAATTACATTCTTTTATATGTTATATTTCGATTATTGAACGAAAGACTGAGATATGTTCCTGTTGTTTTAGTTTTGTATCAAGTCCAATTCAGTTAGTTTGGCAAGTGTATTTTAGGTTAAATTCGTCTCAGCTTGTATAACAGTGACTGAAAAAAAATATTTTTGCAGTTATTGTTATTTTATATATGTTGGCATGGAGATCTGATTCCTTCTTCTGTATTCTGTTTCAGGTCTGAAGAAATATGAATCCTCAGATAGTGGAGATTCAGCCTCGTGAAGTCAAGTTCGTCTGTAAGTTATGTTAGATAGTGTGATATACTGAATTAGTTACTATGATGTATATGCACGTGTGTTAAATAGTTCGTTATGCCGCTTTGATGATTATTATGCCTAATCTTTCTCCTCGTATCTCATTGGATCCGAATTATGATCCCACACTAATTAGCTAAATTTTATTGTTGCTTTATCTGTTACATTCTAAAATTTTATCGTCTGACACTTCCCCTTGGCTTCTCTAGTTGAGTTGAAGAAACAGAGTACATGTATCGTTCACCTTGGCAATGTCACTGACCAGTATGTTGCATTCAAGGTTAGGTGGTTTCCTATTCTGTACCGGTTCATTATCTCATGCAACTTTGATATTTTGTAGATATTATTGTATGATTGGATAATTTGCCTGGTTATTGAAGTATTTTCTATTTCTAAACGATGAGGATATAAATGGATGTATGATTCTTTTCTTGTGCAGGTTAAGACTACATCACCAAAGAAGTACTGTGTGAGACCTAATGTAGGTGTAATCAAGCCAAAGTCAACATGTGACTTTACAGGTATTATAGTCCGTTTCCTTGTTATGTCCGTACATCTAGTTCTATTATTTTGCTTTTCTGTGATTTGGCTGAAGTATGAGTGATTTGAGAACATTAGGACTTTAAATCTTTATTTCATGACATCTCATATACATTTGAATGGAAAAGGACAATTTCCAGTTGATTTAAAACTATATTCAGCATAATTCTTTTTCCACAGGCCAACCCAAAATGGTCAATATCACAATTTCGGGTCCCTACGGGCCTGTTATTTTTTCATTTTTTATATTTGATTTCACCTTGCAAACAGCTTCATTCATTTTATTGAAGTTTCATGTCTTTGTTGTCTTGTCGGGTAATTATAATACAATGGGTTTGATAATATTCAAGGAACTTTTAACCTCTTGTATAGTTACCATGCAAGCACAGAAGTCGGCTCCTTCGGAACAATGTAAGGATAAATTCCTGGTCCAGAGCACGGTGGTTCGTTTTGGCACAACTGAAGAGGACATAACCCCCAGCATGGTAAGATATCAAATACAGCTAATCTGTATTAGTATCATGCGTTTCTCATTGCATATTTACTATTTAAAAAAAAGTTTCCAATTTTTATTTGTTTATTTCTCCTTTTCTTCTCGCAGTTCTCAAAAGGAAGTCAAAAGTATATTGAAGAGACCAAGCTCAGGGTTGTTCTTACTAGTGCTCCCAGTTCTCCAGAAAAGCCACTAGCTGATGTAGTTTTGAATCAAGAGTTCTCTGATGAATATCCAGTACCCAAAGAACCCCATGCACCTGTTTTGCTGCCTGTTCATGAAGTTATTAAGCAAGAACCATCCTTTGAGACTTTCATGCCGAAAGATAAATTGAAGAACGGAGTCGAATATTTCTCTCGGCCTGATATGGTAAGAAATCTTAGTTTCGCTTCATTGAACTCTTGGATGATAGATGACACATTTCAGGCAGCTTGGTTCGTTCTTTAATAATGCTTTAGAAATTCGATAAGAACCCAGTGCTACCTATTTCATCCATGATTTCATCAGTTAATTCGTATGAACATATTTACGTAGATTGTACTGTTAGGTATCCTTTTAATGATTGTACTAATACCTTATCACCCCTATGTAAGTTAAACATATTGCTTGTTGCACTGTGGAACACTCTTACGACCTTATTGGGATTAAGAAATTATATATACATTGTGTACAGCTACTTGAGAAGGTGGAGGCAATCCAAAATGTCAAAAAGATGGAAGAGCCTAGATCACTAAAAGTCGTGGAGAATGTGAAGCCAGTTCCTGCCAAGGATGAGGAGTTCTTCCTTCAGAAGAAAGAGGAGTTGTACCCTCAGAACAAAGAGGAGTTGTACTTTAAGAAGAACGAGGAAATTTACCCTAAGAAGAACGAGGAATTCTACCCGAAGAAGAACGAGGAATTAAAGCAAGATAGAGATGTCGGAGATGCAAAGTTGAAGCTAACAGAAGATATTGGGGAATTGAGATCAAAGATTAGTGCCATGAATGCCAAGTTAGTTGAGGTCAGTTATTATATCATGATGTAAGAATTTGGTGATGTGGTTTGGACTTTTAAGGCTGAATATCATTCATGATTGGGAAGTAGAAACATCACAGAAAATAAAATTTATATTCATTATAACTTCATATTACTTCACATATCTGAGTTTCGTTTACGGAAATTCTGAATATTGAAAATTTTGGTTTTGTTTGCAGGCGGAGTACACGATTGAGAAGCTAAAAGCAGAAAAGACCACCACCATTTACGAGAAGGAGAAATTGAAGCAAGAACTGGTGGGTGAATGAATTTACAAACCTCCTTGAATTTTCTGTTTTCAATTAATTGAATTCGAGGATTGCAAAACGTAGCTACTATACTATAGAGATTGAAAAAGTTGCTTCATTTCTTTCTGTACAGGCAATCTCGAAGACAAAGAGTCCTACTGCAAGAAGAATTCAAGTTGGTTTTCCCCCTCTTTTCGTATGCATGGTCGCACTGATTAGTTTGGTGATGGGGTCCTTGTTTCGAGCATAGTGGATTGATTTTCCCGATCTGTTTTATTTTGAGCTTAGTGCGGTTGAGAGTACAAATATATTTCGATATGTCGGTATTAGGTATAGAAACAGAGTCGTATTGGCTGGTTTTCACAAGCCATCCAATGTACTATGCTTGTTGATAACTTCATCTAAATCTTAATATTGTATAAAACAAATGAAACGATTTTAACTATCAAATAAAAAGGTAAAACGGGAGTTTCAATCTCACCCGGCCCAAGATTACGTGGCTTTCTTGTTATGAGAAAAATGGGAGTAATATGTTTTGATGGTAGGCGTGTAATTGAGTCGACAATCAAATATTATTCTAGATTGTTTGAATTGTTATTGAGCGTTCAAAGTTGTATTTGATCTGGAACGAGCTTTCATCGAGCCGAACACGATTCGTACTCGAGTAGCTTGATATTTTTTTTCTTCATATTTTATCATTTTTTTAGTCAAGCTCCGATTTTGAGTTGAGTTTCATAGCTTATCAAATGAAAAATATGTATTCAGGCTTGACTCTGTTTCCTAACAAACCAAAGTTCAAACAAGCTTTTAACGAACGATAGCATATCAAATATCGAGTAATCGGGTATTTGTTACACAAATCTGTATGCATTCTCGCACTCTTTTCCACCAAATAAACGCTTTACTGATGGGCACGAAAGGGAGAAACCATGAACAAAACTTTTCGA